GCGGGATGGGCGGCAGCATGGGAGGGATGGGCGGGATGGGCGGGAGTGGCGGCGTGGGGAGGAGCGGAGCGGGCGGGATGGGAGGGATGGGAGGGATGGGAGGGATGGGCGGGCAAATGGGAGGAGCGAGGCCGATGGGCGCGACGAGCGGGCCAATGGGCGGCGGGCCCATGGGCGGCCCCATGAGCGGGTCGATGGGGCAGATGGGGTGCGGCTGCGGGCGATCGGTTGCCGCGCGTTGTGAACAGCGTCTCTTCACACGTACAGCTGTGAACAGGTGCGGCCCGATGGGCGGCGGCCCGATGGGGGCAGCCGCGCCGAGCGGCGGCAACATGATGAACTTCGGGTCTGCCGCCGCCAAGCCGCCAAACGCCTTCGATTCGCTCGACCCGCTGGCTATGATGGCCGCTGGCAAACCAAAGAAGGCTGGCGGTGCGATAGCGGCGAAGAAGTCGAATGACGACTGGGGCGACAACCCGTGGTAGCTGCGAGGGACTTGTGAGTTGGTCTATGCCCCAGATCGAGATCTCTCTCTTGCAAGTGTTGCGAATGCGGCGTTGCACGGCTGTATCTCATTGGCGTGTGGGTGGGGGCCCGTGAGCCGTATGTGCACTGCGGGTGTCTCGCTCACGAACACCTTCTGAGCCACACCACGCCGCATGAACACGCCAAACAAAATTGTGCCCTATTTTATGTAGCCTATGTGCGTCTCGTGTCTCTCGTCTACAGACACCGAAGTTTGCAAAAGAAATCGTGATGCAGTGCCGGGTCGGGTGCGCGTGCGGCGGAGAGTGTGGGAGAGCGAGAGGCCGCCCGAAGTGCTCAGCGTGCTCAGTGGAGAGCGTCGGCTCCACGACCGAGACACAGACCACGACCCACGTGGCGGCGGCGGCGTGCGCGTGTTTTGCGCGTGCTGAGATTCATCCTCACAGCTCATCGCGACTCCGGGCCGCAGCATGGTCGTACGTCGCGGTGGCGGAGGCGTCCGTCTCACTATCCCACGCGCCCCGCCCCGCGAGCAGGTTCTCGACCGTGACGCGGAGGTGCTCCTCCATCGTCGTCGCGCTGTACAGGGCGGGCGACTCGGGCGTGACGAACTCCTCCATCGGCGCGATGCGTGTGTGCGCCGCCAGCGCGCAGAAGCGGATGATCGAGTAGCGCTCGCCGCCTCCCGCGCCGTCGAGCGGCACGCGGTGCGGCGTCGCGCGCAACACGCCATTCGTCATCCTCTCGAGAACGTCGCCTGCGGACGTGTCGCGGACGCGTCGCGGACGTGTGAGTGCGCGCTGCCGCCGCTCCGCTCGAGCGCAGCGCTCGCCGAGGATGACCACAAGCGCGTCGGGCCGCACCGGCGCCACCGCCCACCGTCCAGACACGTCGCGCAGCTCGAGCCCTTCTGCGCTCTGGTGCATGAGTGTCAGCGCCTCGTAGTCGGTGTGGGCCTACTCACTCACTAGCTATGTAATCAATCATCACTCACTAGTTAATCTCACCTCGGAGTCGGTTGTGGGCCCCGATCCCGACGTGCGGGCCGCCGCCGCCGACACCGTCGCCGCCGCCGCTGGCACCATCGCCGCCGCCGCCGACACCATCGCCGCCGCCGCTGGCACCATCGCCGCCGCCGCCGACACCATCGCCGCCGCCGCTGGCACCATCGCCGCCGCCGCCGACACCATCGCCGCCGCCGCCGACACCATCGCCACCTCCGCCGACACCATCGCCGCCGCCGACGCCGCTGATGTTGCGGGCGGCCGCCTCGGATGCGGGCGGGTACCGCATCAGCCGCACCGTGCCGAGCTCGCCGTCGGCAAGGTGGCGCGTGAAGGCGTCCGGCGGAAGGCCGAGCACCTGCGAGAAGGTTCCGAGAAGGCTCGGGGAAGGCTCCGCACGCGCGCCTCCTGTCGAGTGGCGCCGAGACCTCGCCAATCGCCTCGAGCAGCGCCGCCGCGAGCGTCTGCTGCCGGTCGTACAGGTCGCCCACCACATCCTCGAACCGCGGTGAGAGCAGCTCGGGGCCTGGGTACTTTCCGCTGCCGCCGCCCTCGTCGCCGCCGCCGCTGCCTCCAGCCGAGGCCGGCGAGCCGGCGCACTGGGCCGCGACAAAGGCGTTTGGCTCGCGTGAGTAGTCCCACGCCCGGAGGGATGGCAGCTTGCCAAGCTCGTGCACGTTGCCCAGCACGCCGGCGTCGGGGCCGGTGTAACCGCCGTGCGGCCGTGAGTGGCGTCGCTTGACGGCCGGTGGGAGCGCGTGTGCCCGCCTGCTAAAGTCGTACATGCTCGCGATGTACGACTCGTTGAAGAGCTCGCCGACTCCAGCGCAGTAGAAGAAGCCGCGGGTCACGATCGCATCTCGGAGGTCATCGAGCGCCGCGGTGCGAGGCGCGAGATCGTCCCTCAGTAGCGAGCCGCAATCGACGGTCGGCCAGGTGGAGAAGCTGGCGTCGACCGTGGAGGCGAGAAGGGTCAATGGAAGCATGGTGGCTGGGGGTGCGGCCAGCGTGTGACTGGGTCGCGTTTTTTTTCTGGACCGCCCGGGGACGATGGATTTCGAGAACAACGGGATGTTGGGCCCAGGCGTGTACGTCAGCCAGGACATCAACAAGGCGCGCGCATGTGTATGGCGATGGCACCATCCTCACGGTGAGTGTCAACACCGGCGTCGTCAAGATGATCACCAGGCCGCAAGATCGAGACGGCACGTGGCAGGTTGGCGGTATGTACCATATAGCGCGTGGGTGAAGCCGGGTGTTCAGCCGAGCGGCGAGGAGCACTGTGTGCGCGACTCGCGGCGAATCAAGGTGCTCAAGGTGATAAAAAGCGGCTGATGGACGCCCTCCTGCCCCCCCGGCAATCGATCAGACGTGGACGGATTGGGCACAAAAACGCGGAGGACAAATGATACGGCTCATCAGCACACGCACATGCACATGCACATGTGCATGCACATGTGCATGCACATGCACATGCACAAGTGTCAAGTTCATGATCTTTGTTGGTGACCTTTTGCTCGGGTCAAAACGTATCGAGGCCATGGATTTCTGCGTACTTTTATTTACATGTAGATCCGCTTTCGTGATCTTTGTTGGTGACCTTATGCAGTCAGCCAGTCAGTCATGCAGTCAGTCTTACCGTCACCTCGTCGCACCGAGGACGGGCCACACGCACACAGGTGACCTTTGCTCGGGTGTCAAAACGTATCGAGGCTTTAATACGTTGCGTTCACGACTGTCCGTGCGTGTGATCTGGGCCCGGAGATATGCTTTGTGTGAACGAAAAACTTGATGTCAAAAAGGATACGCCGGCGGCGCGACCGCATTCCCCGCATCCGGTCCGAGGCACGAACTGATGACTAAGTTGAGACTCTCTGTGTCTTATCTCGACTTGCACTCTCAACTCGCTGAGGGCAGTCGACACAACTCCCGGTGCGCCATGGCCTCCGTTGCAGTGGCGGTGCGGGCTGCAGGGGGCGGCCCTCAACGTGTGGCCAGAGTGATCGCAGCTCCCTCTAGGGAGGAGACTGGAGAGGAGTGCGCTGAGGGCGGTACGCTGTAGATCCTGTGGCCTTGGGCCCTGCGGCGGCCTCTCTCTCGAGGTCTCGAGATTACAAAGCGGTCAAGGCCATTTTGACAATGTTCGACTTTTCTTTTCCCAAAGTTCAGGCCATCTTCCGGAAGAGTGCCGATGAGGAAGGAGGGAGGGGGGAAAGGCGGTCCCGTCTGGGGAAAGGGCGTAACAAGGGCGCCGTAAAGGAGGGGCCCAAGGGCGAGAGAGGGAAAAGAAAACAAACCTAGTGATAAGGCAGCCCAAGCTTGAGATGGGCGGTCTTCATCTCTTCATTTGCCGGGGCCCATTCCTCTTGACGCGCCCGCGCGCCCCCGGCACTGCGCGCCCCCGGCACTGCAACACTGCATCGCGCTACATGGGCTCGCGGCAGAAGCGACGCTTCGAGGTCGAGCCACCCTGTTCACGCGCGCGCGAGACGTGCAGACAGGGTGTTGTGTGTGTGAGCGTCGGGCCTTACTTATTGGATGCCGGCGCTCGGGGTCGTCTGGCAACGGCGGACCGGGAGCTCGAGACGCAGCTCTCGGGGCCAGCCAACCCAGGAGTCGATTTTAGGACCAATCACAACTATATTAGCATGAACAACGGGGACTCGGCGAGTGCCCACTCGGACGCGATGGACAAACATGTGCGGGACGGATCATTAACGTCACGAGCCGGCACCGACGATCATGGCACCGACGATCATGGCACCGAGGGTACGGACCGTAAATCGAAATGTGGTACTCGAGTATAAGCGGGCAGCGAGGCCCTGAAAAGTTTGCCGCTGGCTAGGTCCTAGCAACCTACCCTTTAGGAGGGCAGGGAGATGGCCGAGAGCTGGTCTCGGGGCGCTTACCCCCTTACCAGTACCTGATATCGCGCAACACGTCACACGCCTCTGCTCACACCCACGGCGGACATCACATGCTGCTCGAGCAGATAGCGGAGTTCCGCTTTCGACGCCCTGCTAGAGCCACCGCCGGGCGCGTGTCCTGCTTTGTTTCTCGTGTGTACCTGTGTTAGTGCCAGTGCACGCCAGTCCCGTGCCTAGTGTGAAAGGAAGAAAGAAAACAGACAAGCAGGTAGGGCTGGGAGGACGTGCGGGCGCGTGAATTTCTGTGTATCTTTTGGCGGCTTCTACAAGGCTTTCCACACCCAATTTTTTTCTGTGTCAGTGCCAGTGCGCGCCAGTGCCTAGTGTGAAAGGAATACTTGGGGCCGGGGTTGTGTTTTTGTGTGAAAGGAAGAAAGAAAACAGACAGGACCAGGTAGGGCTGTGCGCGGCCGGAATTTCTTTTCTGGCGGCGTGGAGAGAGGGCCGGCCATCACCGCGAGGATGTGTGTCCGCAGCGGCATGCCTCCTCAGTTTGAGGCCTCCGAAGGGCGCAAGCGGCGCCCCGCGCGTGGCGAAGACGGCGCTTCGAACGACGGTCACGAGCAGGCGGCCTCGTCCGCCGGCACGAAACAGGACAAGTCGTGCTGCGGCAAGGCAAACACACCATTATTATGCTGCCACAGCCCTCCACACCGCATTCCCGTGTTGCCGGCACTTAGCGCATCCCCCCTCATTCACAGGTTCGCATCCGTGTCATCGGCAACCTCGAGATTGACGAGATCGACGCCGACTCCGACGACGAGCTGCCGCCCCTTGAAGACGCGGTCTCGGCCGAGAGCATCCAAGACTTTGACGAGGCCATCGACGAGGCGGATGCGCGCGAGGCGGCAGTTACGAAGGCAGCCGCGAAGGAGGCGGTGGAGACGGCGGTGGCGGCGGAGGCACGTGCGGCGGAGGCAAGCGCTGCGGGGGCGGCGCTGGCCGCGGCCGAGAAGCAGAGGGCTGAGGAGGAACGCGCGGCACGCGAGGCCCAGGCGGCACAGGTGGCCGAGGCTGAGAAGTGGGCCGCGTTTGAAGCGGCGCAGGCGGCCGAGGAGGGTCGGCGCCGGGCGGTCGATGCGGCGGCGGCGGCGGCGGCTGAGGTGGAGAAGGGGGCCGAGGCGAAGCGTGCCGAGCGCAAGGCGGCGAAGGAGCGGGCACGTGAGGAGCGTGAGGCGGAGGCGGCGGCCGTCGCCCGCATGAACCGCGAAGCTGAGCACAAGGCGAGACTCCCCGCGCCCACCTACTGCAAGCCCTGCTCCGCCTCCGCCCTCGCACCGTCACCGCCGTCACCGCCTCCCCCCTCTCCACCTCCGACGCCGCCCCCACCCTCGCCTCCTCCTCCCTCGCCGCCTCCGCCAGCGCCTCCTCCGCCGTCGCCACCCCCACCCGCTCCGCCTCCCCCGTCGCCGCCGCCACCCCTCCCTCCGCCGCCCACACCTCCGCCCACACCCCCGCCACGGTGGCTACCGCCCCCCCCCCCCCCCTTATTCATCAGCCCCTTCCTTTTAGGCGTCCGAGGCGCAGAAGCAGGCGAAGAAGGAGGAGAAGAAGAAGGCTCGACTCGAAGCCTCGAAGGCTCGACAGGAGGCAAACAAGGCCGCCATCGCAGCCCTGGACGGCGAGAAGTACGCGCGAGCGGCAGCCGCGGCGGCGGCGGCGGAGGCGGAGCAGGCAGATGAGGGGGAGCTAGGGGAAGAGGCGGTTGAGGCGGCAGTGCTCGAAGCAGCACGCGAGGCGGCCGAGGCGGAGGCGCTGCTCGAGGCCACGCGCGAGGGCAAGGCGCTAGAGGAGGCGCCGTGGGCGGCAGTCGAGAAAGGAGACGCGGGCGGCCTCGAGGCGTGGATCGCCGATGGCGGCAACGTTGACCAGGGGTGGACCAGCGAGGGACGGAGCCACAACATCACTCTGCTGATGCTGGCCTGCCTGCACGGCCACCTCGACCTCGTTCGCCTGCTGCTTCGGAGCGGCGCCTCGGTTGCGGCCCGGGCCAGCAATGGCGTGACGGCGCTGTCGCTAGCAGCGCGCAACGGCTCATCCGAGATCGTGAGCCTGCTTCTGGCCGCGACGCCGCCCCCTCTCCGCATGGACATCGAGTCGGCGCTCAAGAGCGCCGTGTCCGGTTCTGGCCGCGACCTTTCTGATCCCGTGGTGATCGCCTTCATGAAGGCGGGCATCGTGAGTATCGACTTTGTCTGGCGTGTCGCTGGACAGGCGGACGGCGAGGCGGAGACGGCGGTTGGTTTGTGGCTCAAGCGTGGCGTCGACGTGAACATGTGGATGACGCCATATGCCGGGGAGGGCCGCAAGCCCTGGCACCGCCTCACGCTGCTCATGCTGGCCTGTATCCGCGGCGCACCCGAGCTGGTGAAGCTCCTGCTCCAGCGCGGCGCAGCAGTGAGCCTGCAGAACAGCGAAGACTCGGGCGCGCTCGCGCTGGCAGTGGCGAACTACGACATGTTCGAGGAGGCGGAAGTCATTCGCTTGATCCTGGCTGCGAGCCCCAGCGACGACGACATCTTCGATGCCGGCTGGCAGGCGACACGGGCAGGAGCAAGCCCGTCCGCAGTCGAGGCGCTGATCGAGGGCGGCTTGAACGTGAACGCTGTCTTGACTACATCGCGGCGCAGTCGCGACGGCGACGGGATGAGCTCCACGCTTCTCATCATGGCCGCGAGCCGCAACGCAGCCATCGCGAGCTTCCTGCTGCGGCACGGCGCCTCGGTCGCAGTACGAAACCGCCGTGGTGAGACGGCGTTGAAGACGGCCGTCATGTACAACCAACCCGACATCGTTCGCCTCTTCATCCTCGCTGGGGCGGCGAGCGGCGAGGACGGTGCCGCCTCGCTGCGTCGGGCTGAGTGGTGTGACTTCACCGAGGTAGCAGAGCTATTGTCTCAGGCAGTGCGCGAGAACGACCTCTTATTCCAGGCCGCGTACACCGGCGACTGCGCGACGGTGCTCACGCTCCTCGGCGGCAGCGGCATGGCAGTGGACGCGCCCCGCGCCAACGGAATGTCGCTGCTGATGGTCGCGGCCAGCACGGGCCACGCTCGCCTGGTCGCGGTGTTGCTGCGGCTCGGTGCTATCGTCGACCTCCAAGACCACAACGGGTGCACCGCTCTGATGCTGGCCGCCAGCAGCCAAGACTGCCCCGGCATCGTCGGCCAGCTGCTTGCCGCCGGCGCGACCTTTGCGCTGCGCAACGCGGAAGGCATGACGGCGCCGCAGCTGGCGAAGCGGGCAGGCCACACTCGTGTCCTGGGCGTCTTCAAGTCGCACATCGCACGCGCTCTCGCCACACCCGAGGCCGCTCCGGCAAGCGCGGAGGCGGAGGCCACCGTAATCGCCGAGGAGAGCTGTGTGTCTGCAGAGGAGCAGGCGTGGTCCGAGGGCCAGGCGGCGGCCGCTGCTGCTGCATCGGCGGCGGCGGCGGAAGCGACAGGCGAAGCGGCCGCCGCAGCTGAGCGAGCAGCGGTGCCAGACGCCATTGAAGCAGCAGCTGGACGTGGCGACGTGAAGGCGGTAATGGAGTGGCTCGACACCGGCGGACACGTTGATGCCCTGACTGGGGGCTCGTGCTCACTGTTGCTGCTTGCCGCCTACGGGGGCCACAAGCGGCTTGTCGATTTGCTGCTGAAGCGCGGCGCATCGGTCGAAGGGAGGAGCAAGGAGGGCAGCAGCGCGCTTACAGCCGCCATCCTTGGCGGCTGCGCGAACATCGCGCGCCGCTTGCTGCAGGCGGGGGCAGATCCAGAGCTGAAGTGGGGCCCTGCCGATCAGACCGCCTTGCAACTGGCCAAGGAGAGGGGCGCCGCCACGTGCGTCACCGTCATTGAGAAGCACCTGGCCGCCGAGCTGGCGGCGAAGGCGGCAGCGGCAGCGCGGCATGCGAAGGAGCTGCTGGAGGAGGTCGAGGCGGAGCGCTGCAAGGGCAAGAAGAGCAAGAAGAAGAAGAAGAAGGGCGGCGGGGGCGGCACGGCTGGGCCGCCGCAGGAGACCGCGACTGCGGAGCCCGCTGCTGTCGGGCCCGAGCCGCTTGGGCTTCTCAAAGAGCTCGACACGGAGAGGATTCGGCACCGCGTCGGGGAGGAGCCGACGGCGGCCGAGGCGTCGGAGGAGGGAGCGGAGAAGGGAGCGACGGCGGAGGCGGCCACGGCCACAGTGGCGGCGGAGGCGTCGCCGAAGGAGGTGGCTGCGCTTGGGGCGACAGCGGCGGATCCGGCAGTCGAAGAGGAGGAGAGCCGCGGGGCGGCAGAGGAGCTGGCGAGGTCGGAGGTGTCGGCTGCAGCTGAGGCGGCCGAGGCGACAGCCAAGGCAGAGGAGGAGGAGGCAGCGGCAAAGGCAGAAGAAGAGGCAGAGGCGGCGGCCAAGGCGGAGGCGGCGAGGGCGGCGGCAAAGCAGGCGGCGGCGGCCGAGGCGGCGAGGGTGGCGGCGGAGCAGGCGGCGGCCGCAGAGAAGGCCCGCCTCGAGGAGCAGGCTGCTGCCGAGGCGGCTGCTGCGTCGGCGGAGAAGGTGGCAGGCGGAGCGGCGAGCGAAGCGGCAGCTGCGGCGCGAGCATTCGAAGCTGTCTCTCGCGGCGACAAGAAGGCGGTGATGGCGTGGCTCGACGCCGGCGGGCGCATCGATGCTCTTGCTGCTGGCGGCCTCACGCTGCTAATGGTTGCCGCCTTTTATGGCCAGCTGCGGCTTGTCGAGTCGCTGCTGCAGCGCGGGGCATCGGTCAACCTGACGAGCAACAGCGGCGGAGGCGCGCTCTTTATGGCCGTTGTGAACGACCACGCCAGCGTCGCACGCTGCTTGCTGCGGGCGGGCGCAGATCCAGAGCTGAAGTGGGGCGCTCGCGACCATAACGCCTTGCAACTGGCCAAGAAGTTGGGGTACGCCGCGTGCGTCACCGTCATTGAGGAGCACTTGGAGGCCGAGCTGGCGGCAAAGGAGGCGGCGGTGGCTGCTGAACTGGCGGCGAAGGAGGCGGCGGCGGAGAAGGTAGCAGGCGGAGCGGCCAGCGAGGTGGCAGCTGCGGAGCGAGCAGCGGTACCCTCAGCCATCGTCGACGCTGTCTCTTGCGGCGACAAGAAGGCGGTGATGGCGTGGCTCGACGCCGGCGGGCGCATCGATCCTCCTAGTGAGGACGGCCACACATTGCTCATGGCGGCGGCGGCGGCGAAGGAGGTGGAGGCGGCGCGGCAGGCGAAGGAGCTGCTAGCGGAGGTCGAGGCGGAGGAGCGCTGCAAGGGCAAGAAGAGCAAGAAGAAGAAGAAGAAGGCCGGGACCGGCACGACTGGGCCGCCGCACGAGCAGGAGGAGGCCACGGTGGCGGCGGAGGCGGCGCCGAAGGAGGTGCCGCTCGAGGGGAGGCGGCGCCCGCGACGGCGCTCATGAGGCAGGTGACGCAGAGGGCGAGAGGCGGAGGCGGCAGTCGAAGAGGCTGCTCCCGCCGCTCCGCCTCTCGAGGCCAAGGCTCGGGCGCCAAGGCGGCGCGCGCGGGAGGTGGGGTGGCGCGGCTGTGCACACGCACGGGGAACTGAGAACAGCTTACACTGTTACTGAGAGGCGAGTGAGAGCGACCAAGACGCGCGCACACACGGACACACACACCTGACACACACGCGGATCATTTACGTCACGACACACGAGCCGGTACCGACGACCATGGCACCGACGCAAATTCTCGTACGGTACGTGTAACTCGCTCACGCTCTTTTACTGCTCTGCAGCACAGATCCATTTGGAAAAGCGAACGCGAAGGAAACGGTCGCGGTGACCAGCTGAGCGACGAGCAGCATTGTCGTCCGCATGCGATTATTGGGGAAACAAACAGGTAGCGCAATCAATGTAAAACAGCCAGCACCGTGTTTCATCACCTTCTGTGCCTCTTGCTTGAACACGCTTGCGTCTGGAACGAAGCCGAGCAGCATCCTCCGAACTGCTGGAAAGATTTCACTCCTCGGCTGCTTGATCAAGATGCGGATGGCGGCGATGGCGACGCCAATCCCAGCGACGAGAGCACACGTTTTCGTGATGTCGGCGACAGCTTTGATGACTCCGAGGAGTTGCGACTTCGCCTGCGGCGCCAGCATATCAGCGAATTGCTCAAAGTCCAATGGTCCTGTCACCTGAGTCTCAAGCGCCTCAATCTTCCTGAGCAACGCTTCCAGCTTTGCACGCTCCTGTTGAGGCATGCCCTTGCTGTGTGCTTGCATCTGTTGGGCCCAGGTCTTCAAAGCCTTGAGCTCAGGCATCGATTCCTTGAGCTGCGCAAAGGTTGACTGCACGTGACGCCCGAAGGCATAGATGATGATGAAGCTAGCCGGCACGGAGAATGTGCACCAATGTTGCCAGGCCGTTTGGATCTGCGGCGTCACGATACGCGCTTTGGTCAAAAACGCGGACGCAAACGCGGACGGAGCTCCTCCGGTCCCAGGAGCTGCCGCCGACGCCGACATTGTTGTGCGGCCGGCGGAGAAAACAGGCTTGTCCAGCTTTGAAGAGCGCCGCGCCGAGGTCCGGCGGACCATTTCTCCGTCGTGCGCACTGACGCCGTGTAGCAACAACAACGCGGAGACCACCCTGATCGCGGCCACCTTCATGGCGTGTCAGGAGGTCACAGGTCAATGTTCGCGCGGGCGCTTTGCCTTCTGACCGTGAATGAGAGCGGTGGCAACGGTCGAATCGACGCGGACTCTCCATGGAAACATCGCTGCTGCTTCGAGCCTTCGACCGCCAGCGCCCGACATTTTTCTTCGCACAGACATTTCCAGCTCTGCCCGTCCTCGAAGAGTCGCGTTTCATTCAGAGAGTCTATAGAGAGAGAGATTTTTCAATGTATGTGGCTCTTACGTACATTCCCGGAGGAGGACTGCTGACAGGGTTTGCGATGAGGTTTTTAGCAATACCAAACAACTCTAACACTCACACGTTTGTTTTATTTTTAGCAATACCAAACAACTCTAACACTCACACGTTTGTTTTTGAGAGAGAGATATTTTTAGCATTTGTTTGTTTTTGAGAGTCTAAACCTCTCTAAACCTCTGAGTCGTAAAGAAGAAGAAAGAAAACACACAACCGAAGGGAGGGATGTGTTATGCCTAGCATGAAAATTTCTTTCGCGCCAGTCCCGTGCCCAAGAGCGCTGCAAGCAGCGCCGGGCAATGACGGCTTACCGCCCACCCAGCCCCCCCTCGGCACACCCCGGCAGCCAATGTGTGACGGCTCGAACCCGCTAAACCATCCCGCAAGCGGGATGGCCCGCCACTCGAACCCGCAAGCGGGCGTACGAGCCGCGAGCGGCTCGCACTCGTGACACGCAGGCGTCCGACAGACGGCGCCGGGGCTAGGCGACCGAAGAGGAACTACGGCAAGAACCGCACACCACCCGCTGACGAGCGCTCGCGGAACTGGTCCGCGGCGCCCGCCAGGGGCGTGCGCGAGACCGGGCTCGGAGCCCTTTTCTGTGAGCAGGGATTCCCTCCCGGCGGGGGTTGTGGCGGAGAGCCGGCATGGGAATCGCCGGCCCCCACCCAAGGGGTGCCCCTGCCAGGCGCCGCAAGCGGTGCCCGACAGGGGCGGGTGCCCCCACCCCGAGGGGTGGGGGCAGGGTCGGGGTCCAAAGTGATCCGGCCCATCGCCTCGGTAAGGTCCTCAGTGCGATTCTCCACGGTGTCGTCGAGCGAAAGCGCGGTGGCCGCGGAGGTGATGACGTCGACATCGGTGGAATCGGCTGGGTCGACGTCAATGTCGATAGCTCTTTCACGCCGGATCCCCTTGTTGTCTCCGATGTGTCGCGCCTGCGCGCTCGGCGTGTATGAAATCCATATCACCCCATGCTCCACGACTGGGGCTTTAGGCGGCGAGGGCGGGGCGCTAGGCGGCGGTTCGTTTTCGGGGGAGTCGGGTGGGTCATCGGCGTAGCTAGAGGCCCCATCACCGATGTCGTCGAGTGGGATGGTTGTTGCTCCTCCGTTGATAGGCATGTCGTCGCCCACGGTGCTGCTCTCCCCGTCGTCTGCGTCTGTTGGGACAGACCCGTCCTGCCACTCCGGCGCGCCGCAATCCCTCGCGCCGCTCCTGCCGAGGTCAGCTTGTTTATCGACGTAGTCGTTCCACTTATGACCACTGTGCCCCTTGACGTGTCTCCATGTCACTTCGTGCCTCGACGCTAAATGCCGCCACGCCGCTCGAAGATAGCTCGCTAGTTGTGTGTTCTCCCCCGGGGAGATTCTCCCCGTCGCACACGCCATCGCGTACTCGCTGTCCGTTCGGACCACCCCTCGTGAGCCTGCTGGTCGTGGTGCCGTGTGGAGTAGTGAGCGAAAGAGCTCCGCAAGCGCTGACAGCTCCGCCGTGTTATTGGTGTGTTTCCGCGCCCCCACGAAAGCGGCGTGTACGGGGCTAGTCACGACGGGGCCGTAGCCTTCGGTCACGAGCATGGCATTATCGTCGCTTATGCCGTCCCCGCCCATGACTACGGCGTACGCCCATCCCGCCCTGCCTCCATCTTCCGACCCATCAGTGTACGCCGTCCAGTCGGGCGGTTGCTGCTGTTGTTGGGGCGTGGTGCCGTCCCGTCGACAGGGTCGAAGTATAACCCCTGGCGCCTCCACCATCAGCCGCACTTTAACACGGGGAGCGCCGCCCCTATCGCAAGGCTCGACACTGAGTAGTGCCATCGTGTTGCTTGCGCAATCATTCGCAGCGATGCCGCGGGCAAGCTGAATCCTCTCCGGAAGCGCGCATTGGCCGTCGTCAGAAAAGAAAGCCGGATGTTTCCCTTTCCCACTCTGCTACTGCTCTCTCTGGTCCTCGTAAGGGCCCTTAGTCCTCGGCCCTTAGTCCTCGAGTGATCCCTCGCGTTCCTGGTCATGGCTACTCCGCCTCCGCCGGCGTGTCCGCACCCGACGAGATCGTACATCGACGAGAAGAAGGCGAGATACAAGTCGGAGCATATTCGTGCCATGAAGGCGCCAATCAAAGCCGGCGCTCAGGAGCGAGCTGCCACTGCTGCGCTGGCAGTGAATGGCGGCGGCTCGCAGCCTGTGCCTGTGGCTTACGGACTGTACCGCGGCTTCTACAAACAGTTTCACGCCGAAGTCCTTGACACCAAGAAGGAGCTGCCATTTTCGCACCTCTCTGGCACGAGCGGCGGCTTCCTGGCGGTCGCGACTTACTCCTACTCTGCGCTTCCTGGCCACCAAGTGCTCGACACGGGCCGAGAGACCGAGCCGGCGAAGATCACAAAGGCGGCGATTGAGAACCCGCCGACCCCGTCCTGCGGCCAGATGGGGTACGTGGCCAGTCAACTCGGCCTCGGCTCAGGCCTTTGCTCAGTCTTCTTTTCCGCCATACCCGTCTTGGTCGGCGTTTTCGTGTCGGCCTCTGTTGGCGTTTGCGCCCGCGCTGTAACCTGCGGCAAATGCGTCGGCGGTGGCTGCTGGCCATTCGCGAACACCGTATCGAGCTGGTTCATCGTGAGCGCCGCTACTCCCCTCTCCTGGCGCCTTGCCCTCAACACAAATCCTCAAAGGTTCGCCGTGCCTGGCCCGCCCGCAGGCTTTCTTCTACAATTACTTTGTTGGCCGGATTGGCGCACCGAAGCACGACACGCCAACAGGACTGGGCAAGAACAAGTACACGGTGCAAAGTCGTGGCCCCGGGGCTTTAGTGCACGCACACACATCACAGCAGGACCCCCGTCATGCCGCCAGGCGAGCGTGGATGGCGTGCAGGCACAGATTGCTGCGCTCGCCACGGACGGCGTTGTTGTCACCAAGGCGCGGCCGAACTTCTAGCATCCAGGGTAGGAGATGTTGGGCACGGCTACATTGTATATTCCACGCCACTGCCTGCAGGAGGACTTCAACATCCCACGCGGGCTTGCGCCCACGCCGCTGGCTACGTTTGGGATGGCCCGCCCAACCGGCGTCTCGTACCGCAACTTCGAGGCGACGCCCCCACCTCGGCCGCACCTCGGCTGCATCTCTGCACCTCGGCCGCATCTCGGCCGCATCTCGGCTGCACTTCGGCCGCATCTCGGCTGCATCTCGGCCGCACCTCGGCTGCATCTCGGCTGCTTCTCGGCCAGATGGGTTTACTTGTTGTTCCCGATCCTCACACCCGATCCTCACAAGCCTCGTGAACACTAGGCGCCATTCACACTAGGCGCCATTCACACTAGGCGCCATTCACACTAGGCGCCATTCGACAAGTGGTCCACGGAGGCGAAGAACGAGTGGCTCTGCAAGTACCGTGGGAGAGCCTCGCGTTTAGCAACGAGTCGCCGGCGTTGCCCACCCATGACTATGCATGCACAGGCGCGACAGCCCGCCAACGCACGGCGCTACGGCGGCGTCGATTGCGAAGCAGCACCGCGACCAAAGCGCCGGCGAGCGCGTCTCGTGCCAGTGCGGCATGTCTAGGGCACGTCCATCACACGTCCATGACACGTCCACGCAGGCCACCAGTGCCTCGTGCCTTGGCTCGCCACCCCGGACAGCGTCTGGACACCTTACCACGGGTGCACGATGCAGTTCGGCTGCCAGTGGCCGTTCGAACCGTGGCCCCGCCCAGCGAACCCAAAGGCGAGCCCCCCTCACTAACACCCCGCCCTTAATTAACACCAACAACTGGCTACACGACGCCCTCTACGCTGGGGTGCCGGCGCCCTACAGCCCCCCCCCCCCCCACCCACCCACGTCGTCCCGCCCTTATTTCGGCAAGCTTTGGTGTTGACTGAGCCTGCGCCGGATGACGGCAGGACATTCGCTTCGCCTCTATCCCACCGGGCCAGGTCATCGACGTCGAGAGCAACGGAGGGGTTCATCAATCAATACGCTAATCCCGCTCTCCCACCGGGACAGGTCCTCAACGTCGAGTATGTCCGCCCCCCCGCGTGCCTTCCGTGCGCGCCGCTCTCATCAGGCTCCCGAGCTTTTCACCGAGTCGTGACACGTCCACGACACGCCCACTGACACGTCCACGACACGTCCATGACACGTCCACGACAGGCTCCAAGCTGTCCATCGAGGCACTCATGGCGGCGTCGGGGGACTTCGCCGCCATGCCAATCACCACAATACCGGCTTTGTTCTGCTTTGACACGTTTGCCCAACGGCGCATGCCCCCCCCCCCCCCCCTGCCCGCCGCCCACATGCCAACGCTATGATTCCGGCACGTTCTTGACACGTCCTTGACAGGTACACGACGTACACGACGTCGGAGGAGGACGGGACGAAATCGCTCGACTACGCGGACGGCGGCGTTGTCGATACCCCCGCCGTCTGCGGCGCGGTGTCGCAGGGCGCAACGAAGATCGTGTCAGTGATCAGCTTCCCCGACGCCTTGAAGAGCGGCAAAGGTCCCTTCGTGGCGACCGAGGGGGAGCCTTGCACGTGGAAGGTTGACCCCGACTCCGCCTACATCCAGTTTGTCGCCCAGTACTTTGGGCAGGGACCCTACAGCTCCGGAGCCGTCGCTCCACTGGGCGCTCCGGGCATGCTCAATCAGATCTTTGCAAACCAGGCGCGCGACCACCCTCGCCCGCCCTCCGCCGCCGCTCCCTTGGCCACACGCCCACTCGCTCGCAGAACGACCAATGCGACGACCTCTTTCAGTCCTTGATGGAGCAGTTTCAACGCAAGCAGGAGAAGGGGGAGGCGCTCGTCGCCTACTTGAAGGACGTCCCGTGGTGGAGATCCCGAGATCACCCGAGATCACCCGAGATCACCCGACACGAGCCCGAGATTAGGACGTGCCGGTGGTGGAGAACGCCTTCTGGGGAATCGACGGCGGCCGCTGCGTGGCGAACTTTGCCGTCATCCTCTACACTCTGCCGACTAACTGGGCACGGGAGCTCAAGAAGCACACGAAAGTCGACGTCTTTCCGATGCCACAGTCGAGGCGCAAAGGCGGTGGTGCCGACCTCACCAAGCCCACGTGGCGCAAGGCTGGCTCCTTCCCCTACTCGGGGTTTGCGGGGAATGGCCCGGCCATCTACTACACTGTGAGCCCCCCCCACCACCCCCCCCCTTCCCTCGGGGGGCTACGCCCCTCCACCCCTCCCTCTTGCTAACGCCGCTGCCGGCCTTCTCGCAGCCGGAGGAGGTCAACCTGTACGGTTACCTCGGCGACTGGATCGTCAGCTCCGAGTGGGACAACGGGCTCAAGGACTGCTGTGACCTCCACCCTTTGTGAGCGCTAATTTCGAAGATGTGTGACCTGTGTGTGTGTGTTTGGGGTGTGTGGGGGGGGGGTCCCACGACGCTCGCAGGCCCATGTTGGGGTGTAGTCGGTTGAAGCCAAAGTACTTTGCCAAAGAAGAATAGACTAAAGAAAATGGTTGCGGCTAGTCGTACTGAGAGAGAGAATTTTTGAAAACCAACAAGAAATCAGTAATCATGACTGTTGACTCTCACAGTGATTTGGCTAGTTCCAATTCACTCTGACACGCTAATCTTGAAAACGCGTCCAACGGAGCTCTGTGTTGCTCCCAGCGCCCTCCCCCGCGCTTCCTGCGGCCATGGCCGATGATACTAGTATGGGAGGTCATCTGGCTACCGCGAGAGCGACCCAACTCGTTGACATCGTCCGATGATGGTGCCGCAAAGTCAGCCTCCGGAGGCTATCGTGGGTCGAGCCGGCGGTAGCCGTGACATGTGGTTCCACCACCCCTCGCAGGCTTTGCCTCTGACCGCCACCGTTCCCAGGCTACCTAATGGGATGGAAAGGAAGGCTGGGCGAGCGTATAGAAGCGTGCTCGACCTCGTCGTGGCAACCTGCACGGCAGCGCTGGTAGGCGCGATGAGCGTCGTGCCACCTGACCCAAGACGGGTCGCAGGCGTCGTACCGAGCGCGTCGAGACCGTGTCCTGATGTGATCTGCACGGGTGAGTCACGTCGGCGTCAAAGGAGCGACGTGCGACCTGTCAGAGCTTGATCTCCGATCTCAGCGGCGTCGAGTCGCCTTCGGCGGCGACACACTGTGTGCTTTTCCAGCGGTTTATTTTTGGCTTACGAGAGCTCAAAAGCGATGTCAAGCGCCCGCACGCAGCCAGCACGCGCCGCGCCCCTGGGCGCTCCCCACTGCGGCGCGCCGCCCGCGCGCGGGTTGCCCGGGCGAGCGACCGCCACCGCTCGCCCCTCCGCACCCTCTGCCCGCGCACGGCCGACGCGCAAGCTCGCGGTCGCGCGCGGGCCGCCGCTTGGCGCACGCCGCCGTCTACCCGCGCTCGCTCGCGAACGAGTCCGGTGACCCTATATTCCGAGCAGCGGAGGTGTGCTTGCACCCCCTTCCCAAGGCACATGCACAATGGAGGGAGAAAGTGGCCACTGCGGCGGCTGCAATCTCACATTTTGCGCCTCAGCCCCAGCAGGCGCGTTCTTGGCGTGCTGCTCCTGAACAGGTTTTGCGGCAGTCCCGAGAGGGGGAGCGGCCGCTCCTCCGCACCATCGGCCCACGGCATCCTGGGCGGCGTCGGCGCCGCCCCAACGGCCGGCTCGGGCGCTTCCCGCCCCGCCTCGGCTACACTTTGTCGCGGCGATCCAGCGGTGCGCCGCCGCACCGCGCGCCTCCCCCGAGCCTCTGTACAGCGCGATGAGCCGCCTCGGCTGCCGCCGTGGTTGCGCCGGCGCCCCTCCCGCACGGCGCGACGCGACCGCAGCCGCGTGCGTGGTCTCACTGACCTCTTCCGCCCGCGCGTCCGCCTCTCAGACCCGCGCCTCCCCTTTCCCAGGCGCCATCACCGGCACGGCCGCCGCCGCCCGCGCGGCACCTCCCGCCCCCCCTGGCGCTGCTGGCCGCTACCCCGCCGCCGTCGCTACCCTCGCCACCGCTGCCGCACCGCCTCCGGATGGCGGCGCCGGCGACGGCGAGGCCGAGGGGGGGGCGGCGGCGAGGCGGACGGCGGACGGCGGCGAGGGCGGCGGCGGCGACGGCGAGGCCGAGGGGGGCGGTGGCGAGGGCGAGGCCGGCGGCGGCGGCGGCGACGGCACGAGGGCGAGGCCGACGGCGGCGGCGGGGAGGGCGAGGCCGACGGCGGCGCGGCGACGGCGAGGCCGAGGGCGGTGGTGGCGACGGCGAGGCCGAGGGCGGCGGCGGCGAGGGTGAGGCGGAGGGCGGTGGCGAGGCGAGCCGAAGGGAGGCGGGCGGCGGCGGCGGCAAGGCGGACGACGGCGGCGGCGGCGGCAAG